GGGGGAGTTGGACCAGATGATCTCCAGAGGTCCCTTCCAACTCCTACCATTCTGTGATTCTGTAAAATACTCTGCTGTAACAGAACAATCAATACTCTCCTGAGGTAAATGATCTCTTTTCTTGGGTCTGTCAAAACCTAAATTTAGTGATCATTATGATATGATACTCAGCCCACTTATTCTCCACATTCCTCTGACACAGAAGAAAGTATTTGAATCTCACAAGTTTTGGACAAGTTGTGCAGAAGTCTTAGTCAAACCCAATGTCCACCACTAAACTGTGTTCAATGTCGTTTCACTCTATCTATCAGAATAAATAATCCTATGCGTAATCTGAGGAATCTTGTGTTCAGGAATTTGTACACTGATTAGAAATGGATTAGACAACAAAGGAAGACCTTTGAAAGAAAAAATATTTTCTACTACATTGAAATGAATATGTCAAGATTTAATTTAATCCAAATAAGGTTTAAATAATGCAATTCAATTAGTCTACAGAACCTGTTTTTCACTCACCCATCGGAAATCTTTTCCATCAAATTTGCTGGCACTCGTAAATAGCACAGTCCTGGCTGGCATATTAATTCCCATAGCAAAAGTCTCTGTTGCAAATAAGGCCTAAATAAACGAACTAAAGTTAAGTAAGCAAAACCAAAGGCTCCTAAGCAAACACGCAAATAGTCAGAGATTGCTACACAAAACCTCTCCAGATTTTACTACTTATGTACAGTTAGCATAGAAACACAGGTGCATTCAGTATTTTAAAACTGGACCACAAACATTCTTTCCCTCTTCCCATATTTTCTCTGGGGAAACATGAAAATTAGTTAGATGGGACCATGTGATAGACTTGAAAAGAAAACACAAGGGGGTGCAAATTATATTAATGAAAAATAATTGTTAATTTCCACATTCAAAATTTGCAAGAGGAAAATATCATTATCTACACAAAAAAAAACCCCACAACTTTCACCTAAGGTTAGATTTTTCTAAATATGTGTACCTTAAGACAACCACGAAACAGCTTGGTAAATGTCTACAACCATTTAGAGGAGCAAAATATAAAACAGTTGAAGAAAATGTAAAATTAGACATTGTAAGTTTAAATACTTTAGATAAAATCTGGAATACTTAAAACTAGAGCTGTAACTGTGCACTAACATAAGACATCTAAGGCAAAGTATTAAAGACTACAAACTTTTCCTTATAGAGAGGGAACCCCCCCCCCCCCCAACAAACCAGTTTCCAGAATTCTTTTTTTTTCAGATAAACATGGAGGCATTTACGCAACTATTTGCATTCCTCAAGGGAAGGGAGCTAAAATCAATTACACCATTTAACCTTTGCCACTGGAACAAGTACAGGCTTCCAGAGGCGCTGTGTGCATTTGTAGAATCAAGTATTTAGATCCACAGAACAGAGCCTTTCCCTTCATGTGTGTGCAGTTCTTTTTAAAACTGCCTACTTACTGGTCCACACAACATTCAAGGAAAGTTTTTAGTAAGTACTAAGCCCTATGCTTCCTGCATAGAATCACATTCTAAACACAAAGCATTTTGCAGTTTGGCATGTGCAATAAGTCTTTCAGCTTTTTCAGTCAAGGGGCAGATCTCCACTATAATACTGGCATACATTCTGAGCTAAGACATACTTCTCAGTTTTTCAGCATTACCAACTGTGTATTCACAACAGAGAAAAACTTAAACATGGACATGAAATATATACCTTTATTAGGCCCTCAGAGAAAAGAATTTCTATGGTTTCTTTTAAGATAGGAAGCAGACCTCCGTGATGGATACCAATTCCTCGCTTCAGAAGAGGAAGCACATGCTCAACCTGTGAAAAAACATAAAGACCAGTAAACAAATTTTACTATTCATTACTAAAAAATAAAACCCGTATAGAAAACCTCAACACTGTCCTTAGTGTTCACGTAATTCACTATTTACTGACTTTAAATACAATAAATACCCCTTCAATATTATTTTCTAGTTAGAACTAGGAATGATATGAAGTGTAAAGACAGAGGTCGATCTTTTCAATAGAGTAGCCTTAAATTGGGTTAGGTCGACTGTGAAGCTATGCCCTAATATACACACGCAGTTAGAATTTAAATTTGCCTCTATTAAAAAAAATACTTCATTTAAATATTTTTTTGAAATAGTGATCCTGGTATGCATGAGATTATTTTGTTTCAATTTTAGTTACAGTAATTTCACTTACTGATACGTGCTGTAAAACAGTGAAGTCAGCACCTATGGGAGCCATACAAGGAAATTCAGGCTGTCAATGACTTAATTTATCTCTTAAATTCTAAACACATTACACTTCAAACAAATACCTACATAAATATAGCTCTGTCTCTGTTTTTTATTTGAAAACAAAGACTCCCGTTAACAGTCTAATAACACTTGGTTACCACCCGAAACCTAATTCTAAGAACATGCTTTTGAGATATCATTGTCCACAGAGACGAAAACAGATTACTTGGATATTAACGCCATTGTCGTAAGCGTACCAAAAAAACCCAGCACATAACACCTTACATATTAGATTCCTATTTTCCATTTTCTCAAGTTCACAAACGAAACAGGTATCTGGAATCTGAAGCAAGCAGGGATGGCCAAAAATTAAATGGTTGTTTTTTTCAAGGAGAAATTGCCATGCTCCCAATAAATACCACTATATTAAGAAATGATGGACAGAAATAAATAAAATGCAGAGGGGGTTAGAAAGAAATTATAGTTTTAGTGTTTGTTACAAAAGTACTGAATCCTGTAATATTCTGTCCATTTAGAAGCTTGTATTTTTCTACTGTAAAGATAATTACTATGCTTAGTCATTATACAATAAATTATAATGCTGATGCATCAATTCTTTTTGAAAAGCTCAGCAGTCAATACCTGATGAAGTGCATACTGCACTCTCATTTGAACTATTCCCAGACAGTTTTAACCCAGGTATCTCTCTCCATAAGCCCTTATGTTTACTTAAAAACATAATCAGAGAAAAAAAAACAAAACCAAAAAAAAACCAGGGTAGGAACTCCATGGCTAATTTTAGCATATGTCATTTGCTGGAGTCACAGCTGGAAGGAATCCTAATCACAGTTCTATTTCACAATGCCAGGTAGCAATGTACGAGATACTAAAACCTGGGGAGATAAAGGAGAATATTCAGTTCATGATTTCTGTACCCACTACAAAAGACCCACAGCCTTAAATACTGCAGGAAACAGAAGAACAGCAGCTACTCCTCCACCCACCTGAGGAAGCTTCTTGTCTTCATCTGACAGACAATCAATTGCATTATTGAACACTTCTTCAACCATCTTTTTTTCTTCATCTAAAAAGGCAATTAGTAAGTTACTACAAAATCTAGAAGGCTAATGCCGTATGTAAATAAAGCATTACCACATTCTAATATTTATAAAAGTTTACAATAAAAATAGCATGGATGACTGTGAAATCCGCACAAAACCACCCACATAGGGTCAGACGATCGAGAGTTGAATGTGAGCCTGAAGAAGCCTGACAGTAACCAGAAGTTACTGACACAATACCAAAACTGACTTTTAGGAATGTCTACATGAAACTACAGTGCTCAGCGAAAAGGAAAACAGAACAAACCTCACAGAATAATTCAAACTTCAGCTATTTCCAAGCTTGGGATTTCTCAGTTTTATGTACTTTCTGTCTATTTCATAAACCTCCCATTTCTCCACTACCTACTAGTCCCTGTCTGCACGGACACAGAGGCTCTTCCTCTTTCCTGTTAATTCTCAAAGTTTACAGCCTTTCTACTAATACAAATATCAAGAATATATATTCAAAGGCATGACTGAAAAAAAAACCATATAAAAATGCATCTCCGCACTTGTGCATAACTTTACATTTTCTGACAGACATGTCTGCATTATTTTGCAACACTGAACCAGAACGTGTGAAGACTGGAGCAAGTAAGCAAGGAAGAGCCCTTAGCAGCTCACAAACATGAAACGATACGTTGATTGACAACAAATTCCCTGTTTTTTTACAACTCCTAACATTTCTGAGAAGCTATGAACTTAAACTTATTTTCCAAGCTTGGTCTTAATCCAAAATGAAAAACGTCTTCTTTGTTTACCTTTTGGGTTTTTCTTTGAGGAGAAGGGGGAGGAAGTAAAAAAAACTGGACTGAATAATTGAGAAAGAACAGTCTAGCGGTTTGTTATACAGTTGTTTTGACTTTGAGAGAATACTTGTTTTTCTAGTGGACGTAACATAGTAATTTTGGGAAATACATGCTATAATCAGTCTTCTTCCATTATAGATATAAATTTCTAGATACTCTTGTGCTAGAACACAACAACAGGATCTTGGTAAAAGAAATTAAGTTTAAAATAGAAGAACAATTCAACATTGCAATAACCAAGTACTCTGTGCACCAATCGGTTCCTACTGAACACAGCCTGAGGTATGGGCATAGTAAACGAAAGAACAGTATGTATTTTTCATTTGATTTTACACAGAAAGTCCCAAAGGCAATAGTAACATTTCACATCAAACTACAATTGTGAATAAAACCATATTTTATTTATCTGTACCTGTATTGAAATCTAACTTTGTCATCTGAAGTGCATAAGCTTCACAGTCTTTCTTACTGAAGCTGAAAATAATCACAGGTTGGAAATTTCTCTCCATTATCATCTTCACAATCTTAAAAACATTTGAAGGACCTGCAGAGAGATTACATTTATTTAAATGTAATTTTAGCAAAAAAGTATCTTTTGGAATAATTGAGACATAAGCAGAACCCGCATACAACTTTGTCGTTTTACACAAAAAGTTACTTTAGAATGGGATTCAAACTCACCTTTTGTTCCTCCTTTCCTGCCTTTCTGGTCTCCTTTTGCCAAGTCTCCTGCATCTCTAAGCACTTGCATTGCTGTATTAAAATTATCTTCTCTGAAATCTCCCTAGATAAAAAACACAGCCTTCATAAGCAATTACTTCCTACACAGTCCACTTAAAAATACTTAGTACTTCACATAGCCAGTACTATTCACCGGCAGAAGGACAAAACCAATGCATAAGCTAGCAAGTGAGTTTACTAAGTCAGTGGCACAGATCAGAATTACGCTGGTGTCTCTGAAGTTATTGCTCATTGTTCTATCCACCATGCCATCAACCACACTAGACCTGCTGAATGACATTACACCAAAACTGACTTTTAGGAATGCCCACATGAAACCACAGGGCCCAATGAAGATGTAGCTTCAAGTGCAGTGCTACTACTTATGGCATTAGCTATTGTTGTGCAAGCCCATGATGCATTTTAAATAAGTCATTACTTCAAAATCACCTGAAGATACAAAAATATTTTGCCCCCTTAACCAAAGTAAAATTTAACTACTACTATGTTTTCTTTTCAGTGAGAAACAGTACAAGAAACATCATCTACTCTGCAGATTTACAGAAAGCAGCATGCACTTTAGAAAACAAAGCAAGGATGAGGGTGCCTAAGGCATCTCAGCAAAGTATTGCTCAGCTGACTACATGACATTAGATAATAAAACAACTCTCTTCTGTAAGACTCCAAAAATCTAGAAGTAACTCAGAGACCACTGTTACTCATTTTAACACAAACATCCTCTGCATAGCAAATTCAAATTTTGCAAGAGATCAAGCTCATGTCTGGTAGGCAAGGAAAAAGATCTTTCAAACAAACTGAATATTCCTCACGTTTTCATCAACGACCAGATGGAGTCCATCTCCTCCTGCTGGGAATATATAATGCTGCAGTGGAGTGGGTCGATAGTCGGTGTAAATTACATGGCAAGGCTATAAAGAAAGAACAGCATACACATTTAATGTTTCTAATTGCATTGTAAAAACACTTGCTTGATGGAAAACCCAATATATTATTACTAAAATACATCTTTTTAAAAGCCAAAAAGTAAGACTCACAGAAACTAAGATAAGAAAATCTTCTTTCCTGAATATGGATTTTGTACTAATGACATTGCTTAAGAAAATGAAAATTTGCAACTCCTTTGGAAGAATACAAGTTGGCTACAAAAATTCTCTCATGAACACAAAAAGTAAGGACAGGTAATATTTCCTTCTGTATTATTAAAATCCAGATAACTTTCAAAACCAAGGAAAAGCTGCTAATTTCTACTTTGTAAAAAAGCCTTTAGGTTTTTTACACCACCTAAAAAAGTCACACAGTAGACTTTTAAAAACATTTAAGGTTTTAAGACATGGAGAAAGCTTGTCTAGAAAAAAAAATCTAAAAACTCACTTCTTTCAAAAGATTAAATATGATGTAAAACTGGTTTTTTTTAAAAAAAAAATCAGTCTAGTGTTCTGTAAAACAAAATTAATCTCTTCTGCCAAGCTTAAATAGACATCTCTTATACTACACTCCTTTCATCACAACGTAAGAATCAATCCCTGGGGTATTTTTAAAATCAGACCAACATCTTGTGGATATTAACTTTCATAATTCTAATTCCCATATTCTTTGCTGCAAAAGCATCTCATAAAAGAACAGAAAAAAATAAAACTAATGGTTATGGGATGGGACAGATTTCTCACTTCGTTTGCACACATATATAGTATTTCCTATGGATTTATGATTTACTTTTGATTTCCACATGGCCTTTTTACTGAGCTCTTCAAACAAATTCTCCAACCAACCTCTTGTCTATCAGCTCTCTGAAAATCATAGTATGTTCATCATGTTTCATAATTCAGAATGTTTGTTGAAATGAAGCTGGGATCTAAATAAGTGTGGAAAATAAGTTCAAAGAAACAGCTTTTATGCTTCTACATAGAATCAACAGCCAGTATAGCTGCAAAAGCTAGGAGTACAACCACAGAAGCCAGGAGTGATCTGTACCAGCATTTATAAGCAGTAAGATGACAAAAAAGACGCTCAAAGATTCAGTTCTCTTCAACCAAAGACACGGTATTACACCACAAAACAAAGATGGAGGTACAGCGTATCAGAAACGTTACCTGTTTGTGAAGATGGCAGATCCATTCAGCAAACTGACGGGCATTTGGAATAGTTGCAGAAAGGAACACATAATGAACATTGTCAGGGAGCAAAATAATTGTCTCTTCCCAAACTACACCACGTTCTGAAAATGGAAAAGTCACATGGGAAATTTATGTGATCAAAGCCTATTTTTCAGTTCTGAAGCCAAAGAACAGCATGCTCAAAGACAAAATAACACAAACAAAAAAGCCTCCCCTGCACAAATGGGGTGAATCAAATGCCTTCAAAGTGGCTTTTGCCTTGGCAAAGAAAACGCAGATTGTGACATAAAATAACTATCCTATATATGTTTAGTAGAAAACAAATTCTGAATGATGTATGCACAAAGATGCCTGATTTTAAGAGAGAGAATAAAGATTTAATTCTTCAAAAGAAAAAAAAAAATTGTTCTTGGGAGAAAAAAAAGATTTCTTGAAAAGAAAAATTGTACATATAGGATACCTGAATCTCTCATGTAGTGGATTTCATCAAAAATAACCCATGCAACTTCTCGCATAACCTCAGAACCTCTGTAGAGCATACTTCTCAAAATCTAGAAAAGGAAAAAAAAATTTGAGATGCATCACATGAAGTAACAACAGTCACATATTACAGAGTAAGTAACTGACAGAATTTTTGGTTCACATTTACATGGCAATATAAAATCTTACTTTGCACAAAACTTAAAAGCGTTTCGAGACTTTCTGTGAGATGTTTTCTGAGCTTATTTCAATCTAACGAATCTCATGATGCGAGATGAACTGGTTTCCCTGTGAGAACAGTGAAGGAATGTGAAGGAAAAACCATTGTTTTTCTCCCAGCCTCTGTGTGGCAGCATATTTGTTACAGGTCTACAGATATCCTGCTGCCAAGCTGCATTCTTCTCTCATCCTAATAGATAACCTCTCTATGATTAAAAGAAAATCTTTTGTCATAAATCAAGTCATCCTGTCTCTCCAGCCCAATCTTTCCCTACCAGAGGTTTTTCCATAAGACTCTTTACTCCTTTCAGGTAAAGACAGAAAAGTAAAATTCAAAGTCGTGGCTGGACAGATTTCGGCAACAGAAACAGGACAAAATCGTGCAAAGAGTGCTTTGTTACCAATGGTGAAAAGCTGTATATTCCTGGAGTACTAGCATCTAGCATGAACCACTCAAGTATCACTCAATGATTTTCCTCTCCCCGTTTTGTTTCCCTGGAACAAAATACTGACCCTACAGGATTCAGTAAGTCTGACTGACTTTTAGTACTTCACATCTATCCAAAGGAAACTCAATTTCCTGTGTTCTCCAGACACTAAGTTCTGCCTTTCTCCATGTGAGAATGAAAGTTCCTGACTGATAGTCCAAAAGCAGGGGTTTACAGAGATTTACCTACCTTCTTCAATAACCAGAAGTTAAAACATTAAAGGGAGGCATAATGAACTTTGTATAATTCTCTACCCTAATTAGGCTTATGATGATAACTTACATCTTTTAATATCAGACCTTCTTAGTCAAAAAAGGGTAGAAGAAAACACAGACAGACCAAGAATTAATGTCTGATCTTACCTCTGTTGTCATTACCAGACAAGAAGCTGTAGGATTAATGGTGACATCCCCAGTCATCAAACCAACATCCTGGAATTCTTCATACATCTCACGGTACTTCTGATTACTCAAAGCTTTAATTGGGCTTGTAAATATCACACGCTGTTTCTCCCTCAAAGCCAGGGCAATTGCATACCTGTATTCAAACATTGTACATATTAAAGTTGTCAGGAAGACATTCAGAGCATATTACTTTCCTCTAACCTTCTGCTTAAAAAAAAAATGCAATTCAGAATACCAGTAGAACGACATGAGGCATTTAATACCTACATTATTAAGTTCAGCACAATCTCAACTCAACTATGTATGCTCTTTTGGACAGCAACAAATCATTGACAAGTTAACTGATTTTTATGGACTTCAGAGCACATCTAGCATAATCTAAAAATCTAATTGTCACTGTCTCATGACAAACTACTATTATTTGAACCCATGCTCTAATATGTCTACACGTACATCTCACTTCTTACCTGAGGTCAGCAAAGCCACTCTGCTATCAGACCAAACCCTGACAAAAACGTACACTATTTCTTACCTGATAAACACCAAGTCGCAAATTAAATCAAATCAGTGCTTCTAACAAACCAAAGCAAACACAACAAACTCCTTATTAGTTATAGCCAGGGGCTAGAAAACAAAGGTATGCTTTTTCTAAGTTGACGCAAATCTGTATTGCAGAAACTTTCCTTTCAATCTACACAATAACATCTCAAAAAAACCAGATTGTTTAAAAATAAAAGGTAAGCTTAAACACAAATTAAGCCTTTCACTACCCAATACACAAGTTGAAAGAAGTAATTTTTATATTCAAGAGTAGCCAACTGAATTCTAACACTAACGGTCCAAACTTTCTATCAAGAAACCGAGACACAACAGCTACTGAGATGGTTCAACAAAATGACATGATAAACATCACACCACTCTCTTATTACAGCCTGTCAGAAAATTACTTACTCTGCACAAACAGTTTTACCAGCTGATGTATGAGCTGACACTAACACAGACTGGTTATTATCTACACAAAGAATAGCTTCTCTCTGAAAGGCATCAAGAATAAATGGATATTCCTAAAAACAAAGAAAGCAAAAGCATTACATATTTTTAACAAAGACTGTTATTTACATCTAATTACTCGTGTAACTGATCTAGTGTGCAAATTACAGGCAGAAATGAAATCCTGTAGAATTTGTAACTTCAACTGATCTTTATCCAGAATTTTGCAATGATTTTATATTCAAATAATTTTATCTAATACTACAGCTAAGATCTGTGCTTATGTCTTGTTGTCATACAGAATTAAAATCTTGCCCCAATTTTCTCTAATATCCTAATTTAGGAAAAGAAACTAGTGTACAGTGGAAGCCACCTGATGTTATAGAATAGAATTGAAATCACAACAGCCTATCCACCCCATTCAAACACAGTATTTTACTCTACCAAATTTAAAATAATAGAAACACGACAGGCCATCTTTTCAAGACACTCTCTTCCAAGCCTTACTTGTACAAAGTACAGCATTTTTCCCTCTACCCTCATCTACTGCCTAAAGCATATGCAAAAAGAAAAATGAAGGCCATCTATCACATACTTTTGCAGCTTTTCCCGTTCTTGGCTTCAGCCCTGTGAAGTCTTCATCTGCTGGAAGTGCAACCTACAAAATAAATCTTAAATAAAAACAGTTGCAGAATTCTCGGTGTCCCATTCAGTGACATGGCAAGCTATGAAGATAGCTGGGGGTAGGAGATTTAAAGTGCATGAAAACTATCTTGAATTTCTATTACCCTTTTTCTATCAGATCAAGCTTCAACGCTTCCTCCCTTCCTCTCAGTTTTTCAACCAGAATCTCTGTCCTCCTGTTCCAACAATACTCCTCTCATTTCCCTGATACTCCCTACTGTCTTGTGTAAAATATTTCTGCTTCACCTATCTTGGAACATTAGCTCTTCAGAACAAGAAACAGTCATGGCTTCTGGACAATGGACATTAGAAGCAACTACTCAGCTCACATTGATAACATTCCTTTTCCAAGGGCAATGTATTTATACAGCTCAAGTTCCTGTTCCTGGCCAATATCCGACACTCATTCATACTAAAAATTTACACTCTCTTCAGGTAGAAAGTGATGGCAGGCCTCTGCCAGACATCTTGAGAAAACAAAGACTGTATAGATGCATGGGCTTTAAAACCTGTATCATCAATTGTATACACATTTTTTTCATTACAAAGGTCTAATCATACAGGGTCCTTGAATGCGACCCCAATTAACTTGAGCTAGTTCTGGAAGAGAGCACAGAAAATAAAATTAACATAAAAGTACAAGGAAGTTAAAATTTACACATTTGATTTGCATAGAAACTCTTTCTGACAATCATGTTTGGATGAAAGATGATTAAAAAAAAAAATAGTCAGCATTTATACTTCTGATTTTTCACATTTTCAATTGTATTTGAATTCTGAATCTGAAAAAAATAGTTTTAATTATTTTGCATTTACAACAAAAAAATAAATTTTTCCCTTTTTACCAAAACGTAATTTTCCTTACAAGAAAGCCTTTCATTCTTGAACCAGAATCGCAAAATATTTCAATGCACTGCTGCACGGCTACATCGCACTATGAACATAAACCTATTTTAACAACCAGCAGGTTTTACTCCTCAGCAACAGTATTCAGAATGGGCTTGGTACCATTCAAATATGGAAACCTATCAATATTATCGAGTGCTTCACAATCACTCATTTTATTGCAAGTATCATTCAAACTGCTTCTGCTAAGACACTCTATTAATTTTTCAAGTGCATTTTGTGCATGCTTAATGCCAAATACAGACCCCAGACTCTTTACAAGCCTTAAATATACCTTATAATATACCTTACATACCTTAATATAATATGTAATAACGTATCTGCTTAAGGGCAGGAAGGCTCTGCAGAGGCACCTGG